ACAATAGCTAAGATCTGCAATCAACATAGATTTCGATAACCTGGTGAATACATATGCACATATCGATGGATCATGGCGTACTGCCTAGCCCTGGGCAAATTAAATCTGTCTTTTGCAGAGTAAGGTGATGTAGGCAAAAGACGTTATATTTATTGAAATAAGTCAGTCCCAAAAGGATAAATGTTTCTGCCTGATCTGTGGTAACTAATAGAGGACCAAAAGAGAGAGAGAGAGAAGGGGAAAAGACCAGCCTTCAACACCTGGGTCTTCCTGAAGACCTCACTGAGCTTCTAAAGACAAAAGCATCACTGTGCCAACAAAAACCTGGGGCCATTTTTTCATAAGTTAAGTCATATTAAAAAAAAAGGTTAAATCCTATTTCCTGTCTTCCACCTAAACAGCATGAGAATCGCATAATGCTTTTTAAAAAGTCATTCAACATGAATAAACATTTTAAAGATGATTTTCATTTTTCACGGATGTGAAAGTCATTAGGTGAAATCTGTATTCCCCAGCAAAGTAGGCTATTCTGAGCACAGCTACACTACCTCTGCTGGATAAACAGCAGCTATAACAATGCTGTCTGTGTGGTTCCATGTTTTGCCTGACATGTTCTTTATGGTTTTTTAAAAAGATTTATTTTATTTATTTGAAAGGCAGAGTTACAGAGAGAGTGGAAAAGACAGAGAGAGATATTCCACTCACTGGTTCACTCCCCAAATGGTCGCAACAGCCAGGGCTCGGCCAGACCAAATTCAGGAGCCAGGAGCTTCTTCCAGGTCTCCCACATGGGAGCAGGGGCCCAAGCACTTGGGCCATCTTCTACTGCTTTCCCAGGCCATTAGCCAGGCCTGGATCAGAAGTGGAGCAGCTGGGATTCGAACTGGCACCCATGGGATGCTAGAATTGCAGGAGGTGACTTTTCCTACTACACCAGCCCCAACATGGCTATATTCCTACACATATTAGGATAGGAGATGATATATTTCATTTCTACTTAATTTTACTCTATCACAGCATTTTATAGGCAACTAAAAAATGTTCATTAACAAATCAGTGTCCTGAACAAAACCCTTATGTATATAGTTTTTTTCATAGCAATTTACTGAAATTTTCCTACTTTTTAATTTTCCAATGATTTTCTCCTTTTTAATTCTTAATATCTTAAAAGTAACAAAATTCTTTTTAAAGATTTATTTATTTAAAAGGCATAATTAGAGAAAGAGAAAGGGAAAGACAGATACATAGATATCTTCCATCTACTGATTCACTTCCCAAATGGCCACAACAGCCAGAGCAGGGTCAGGCAGAAGCCAGGAGCCAAGAACTTCATCTGGGTCTCCCACATGGGTGGGAAGGGCGCAAGCACTTGGACCACCTTCTGCTGCTTTCCTAGGCATATCAGCAGGGAGCTGGATCAGTAGTGGAGCAGCTGGGCCTTGATCTGGTGTTCATATGAGATGATCGCGTTGCAGGTTGTGGCCTAACCCGCTGTACAATGCTGGCCCCTAACGTGAATTCAGCAGAAAGACACATGATCCAGGCCAGTGTTGTGGGGCAGCAGGTTAAGCCGGCGCCTGTAATACCAGCATCCCATGTAGGCACCAGTTCGAGTTTACCGGCTGTTTCACTTCCCATCCAGCTTCCTGCTAATGTGCCTGGGATTGCAGCAGAAGATGGCCCAAGTACTTGTGGAGACCCAGATGAAGCTCCTGGCTTTTAGCTTCAGCCTGGTCCAGCCTTGGTTGTTGGGGCCATTTCGGGAGCGAACCAGAATAGAAGGTCTATTTCTCTCTCTCTCTCTCTTTGTAACTCTGCCTTTCAAAGAAATAAATTAATCTTAAAAACAGGAGAAAGAAAAACAAAGACATAAGATTTAGAATTTAAAGCACAGAACTAAAGTTTGGCTTTATAATTCAATCTCTCTAAACTTCTGTTTCCTTGTTTTTGTTTTAATTTACTTTTTTCTACTCTCCATTTTAATTTCTATTATTTATTCATTTGTTTATTTTATTTGAAAGGCAAACAAATACAGAGAGAGAGAGAGACAGAGAGAGATCTTCCATTTGCAGGGGCTCAGCCAGTCTGAAACCAGGAGCCAAGTACTGAATTCAAATATCCCTTTTAGGTGGCAGGGACCCAAGTGTTTCAGCCATCACTGCCACCCACCAGGGTGTGCATTAGAGGAAGCTGGAATCAGAAGTAGAGCTGGTACTCAACCTCTTATACTGCAGTATGGGATGCAGGCATCCAAGGAGTGACTTAACTGCTTTGCCAAATACTACCCCTCTTCCTAACTTTTCAATAGGGATAATAAGATGCCCTGTAGCAGACACTGATGGCTGCCCCGCCCTCTGCCATGCTGGAAGGGCACTAACTGCATGTCCGCCTGAACCCTACCTAACCCTCAGGATAAATCCAGTGAACTGTCGGTGCACTGAGTCTTAGCCAATTGCACTTGTACAGACGTACAGGAGGAACTTCGGGGGCAACTTCCCTCGTTCTTAAAACAGCCACTGTCAGACAATGCAGCCCCTGGGCGTGAAGCCCAGAACTGCGGCAACCTGTGAGTGGTGCCAACCTCAGGCAGAAGATGGCCAAAGGGAAAGACAGAGAACAATGAACTTCTGAATTCAATAACTTGGGAATTACTCACTTCTGCACTTCCTATTTTGGAGATAACACATTTCCTGACTATTGAATCCTACTGAGGGTGGATTTTTGTGTTGCTTGCTGTTGACAGTGTGCCCATAGTGGGGGTGAGAACTAATGGAGACTGAACAGGAGTGCTTTTGCTTCGTGAATATCCACATGAGCTGTCTCCATGACTCGTGTGTGCTGTCTTCTGTTTTTGAAGATGGTAACATTTGACAGTGTACTGGATGTATGGAGACACACATGACAACACTCACCATGTCAATTTAGAGACTGCTGGTTGTAGATTACTACAATTAATGAAACAAGCAGATAGTGTTACACATGTTCTTCATAGCACTTTTCCTTAATATCCCTATACTTTAGTTAGTATTTTAATTCTTGTAGCAATCTCAGAAAATATTCAGCAAATATTTCTCATCTCTTTGAGGAGAATAAGAGAAAGGGAGTGATTTACTCAGAGTCCCACAGAAATTAGTGAACAGGATTCACACATATGTAAGTGATATTTTAGACAAGTGCTCTAACCAACATACTACACTGCTGTTGGGACAGTCTAAATGCACGCACCCAGAAAATGGTCAAAAGCAGAAACGTATTTCCTTAGAGAAAAACATCAATAGTTGGCAGGAATAATGCAGAGTTTGTAATTCTAGCATTATGTAGTGAAAAAGCACAAATTCTCACCCCCTCCTACCTTTAGTCTCGCAGATCATCACATTGCTAAATTCACTTTCTCCTCCTTCATTGAAACACTGCATTTTAATGTCATAGGAGGTTTCTGGCTGCAGGTGACCAATCATGTGCCATTGCTTGGAACCTAGAAAGGAAAAATAAGAGAGACTCTTTACATATAATACAACCTAAACAACAACACCAGTATCATTAATTTTTCCAGAATGAGGCTGGAGTGGCATCCTTCACCAACCACTAGAGTTTATGCAATTGTAAAAAGCATTTTACTAAAATACATGATAGATGAGTAGCATTTCTATTACATGACATGAGCAAACAATAAAAAGAGATAAACTGAATGAAAGTTGTATTTGTACATTGGTAGTAGTGTTTATATAATTAAAAATAATTAGTGGTCAGTCTCTCATAAATAAGTGCTAATCTTATGCATAGGTAAAAACAAACAAAACCCTCATATCCTCTGACCGTCATATTAGCCCAGTGAGTTAATCTACTATGTCCACTCACCAAGTAGCAACAGTGTAAGATCTGCAAATGGTTCATTACTCAGAGAGCACTTGACCTGTCACAGGAAAGGCCCCAGCAAAACGTTCAATTTTCTCGCAATGGATACGACACTAACAGACAAGTAAACAAACGCCTGAATACACTGCTGGGAATCATCAAAAGGCAACATTTACCATGGGAAACTCTCAGCTGAAGCGCCCATGGCTACTTTTCTTTTGAATCAGCGTCTCCAAACCACACCAGTATCTCTAGTAGAATGATTCTGCCATCCATGGCACACAGCCAGCATTTCATTTAGAGCCACTCGGAAACTGAACACTCCAGTATAAACCACTCTCCACTTTTACTTTCACGGACCTGTGATAAACATTCATGCACAGGGACACTTTGCCCAGATGTAATTAACTCTTCAAGTGTTCCTTCTTAGAAAACGTCTCCTCAAAATGTTCCCACTCTTTCTTAGAAACTCAAGTCCACCACCAACTGATTTAAGGATTAATTAAAGGTGGAGAACAAAACAAAACAAAGCTACACATGCACGTCAAATCTGCTTGTGAGCCCAGACCAGTCTCCCTTCTACACAAACGTATTTCAGTCTGGAAGTACACACCCCTTTCCAGGTCACCAGCACAAAACCTGCTCTCACACAGACCCACACTTTCTAAGAAAGTCTGCCTGCTTTAGGATCAAGGGCCCCTGAATGACTCAAAATGGAGGAATTCTATGCCCCTCTTATGAAAAAGACCTCCCAAAAAAATCTTGACTCAAAAAACTGGTTGAAACTAGAAAAGACTTATTTCTAAAATCTAAAACTTTCCAAAGGACTTTTATTTTCTCTAGCCTTAGGTCCCTCCTGACGTGGCCCTACACTCATTCAACTGTAGACATTTGCTTGAATAATACCATGCTGGATGTGAAGTTTTGTTTTCATATTCTAATAAAAATGGAATTAAACTAGGCTTTTGATATGTTACCAATAAAAGAAAATAATTAAAATAATACACATCTTGTTAGATTACTCTTCTATCATTATAGTAATTCTTCCAATGGCTAAAATTACAAGAAATACCAGCAAAGAGAAAGAATTTTTACTAATCACTGAGAAGTAACACAGCTAAGTGTATTATTAGGTTAAAACCAACCAACCAGCACATATTCTTTGCTTAACAGGCAATTATTTTCCCAAGAGATATTTTAGAAGACATAAGAATTCACCCCCAAGAGAAACCAAAGGCCAGACCTAAAGATCAGAAATGATGGATATTCTGATTCATCTGGAACTCCACTTAACTTTTACAAGATAAAAATATTCCACACAAGAGCACTGGTATGCTTGAAACATTTATAGTTCATCCAAACGTGTAACCTAATTCAGAGGATGAGATAATTTAAATAATATTATTGTTCTTCTCAGTGTATTCTTTTACAGTTTAGTTGAGTTTAAAATTCTTTTCAAAAGCTTAAATTCTGAGTTAATACATATAGTAATCTAAAACTTTAAAGGGAAAACTTCAAGTTAAAGGATGAATAGCTTTGCTCCTAGGTTTGGGAGAACAGACCAATAGTTTTCCAACTGCCACACAAAGAATTTCAAATGCATAAACTTGAAAATAAGGAATAAGCAAATTACACAGCAGAGCGAAGCCCACTTAAACATCTAACTTCTCAGTACATTACATGTATAAACAAGCTCTCTGTGAGCCACAGGGAAACTCGCATTTCTCAGACACCACCCCCAGATACCCTGCCTTTCTTAACCTAATTCCAAGTTCCATGCTATTTGCCTATCACAGAAGTTTGTCAAAGTTCAATGGTCTGATGAGGGAAAAAGAGTAAAAACTGCGTAACAGATGATATTCTTTTTTTCAATTTTTTTTATTTTTTTTTTATTTTTTGACAGGCAGAGTGGACAGTGAGAGAGAGTGAGAGTGAGAGAGAGAGAGAGAGAGAGAGAGAAAGGTCTTCCTTTGCCGTTGGTTCACCCTCCAATGGCTGCCATGGCTGGCGCACCGCGCTGATCCGATGGCAGGAGCCAGGTGCTTCTCCTGGTCTCCCATGGGGTGCAGGGCCCAAGTGCTTGGGCCATCCTCCACTGCACTCCCTGGCCACAGCAGAGAGCTGGCCTGGAAGAGGGGCAACTGGGTCAGAATCCGGCGCCCTGACCGGGACTAGAACCAGGTGTGCGGGTGCCGCAAGGCGGAGGATTACTCTAGTGAGCCGCGGCGCCAGCCAGATGATATTCTTAAAAGTCAAACCAAGAGGCAAGGAGGAGAGATGCGGCTGCATGTCCACTTTGTTCACTTGCTTTGTTTACAGCCCTTTTGTGACAAATGTTTAACTTAATTCAGAAGCTAAAATTCCAAAACTTATAAAAATAAAAACCTGACCCCCACTGCTCTAATTCAGCTGAACTAAAATGAAGGCTTAGGACCAAAGTGCAGAACAGATACTAACAATTATCTTGCCTTTTTTTTTTTTTTTAAGATTTATTTATTTGAAAAGCAGAGTTACAGAGAGAGGAGAGACAGAGATCGTCCATCTGCTCATTCACTCTCCAAATGGCCACAACAGCCAGTGCTGAGCCAGGCTAAAGCCAGCAGCCAGGAACTCCATCCAGGTCTTCCATGTGACTGCAGAGACCCGAGGACTTGGGCTGGCCGCCACTGTTTTTCCCAGGTGCATTAGCAGGGATCTGGATCGGAAGAGTGGCATCCAGGATGCTGTTGTCACTGGCAGCAGCTTAACCTGCTGTGTCACAATGCTGGCCCTATTTCTTTTTTTTTTTTTTTTTTTTTTTTTTGACAGGCAGAGTGGACAGTGAGAGAGAGAGAGAGACAGAGAGAAAGGTCTTCCTTTTGCCGTTGGTTCACCCTCCAATGGACGCCACGGCGGGCGCGCTGCGGCCGGCGCATCGCACTGATCCGAAGGCAGGAGCCAGGTGCTTTTCCTGGTCTCCCACGCGGGTGCAGGGCCCAAGCACTTGGGCCATCCTCCACTGCACTCCCTGGCCATAGCAGAGAGCTGGCCTGGAAGAGGGGCAACTGGGACAGAATCCGGCGCCCCGACTGGGACTAGAACCTGGTGTGCAGGCGCCACAAGGCGGAGGATTAGCCTATTGAGCCACGGACCCGGCCCCTATTTCTTTTATTAAATAGTGTTTTTTATTGCCAAAAAAGATGCACACAGAAAAGCACACGCAATTGTACAGCTCAACAAACATTCACAAACTGAACACACCTCTGGAATCAGGTCAAGACAAGAACCCTGCTGCCCCACAACGTCTGCCTCAGGCTCTATACAGGCATCCATCTCCCCAGAGACAGCTCCTACCTTGACTTCTGAGAGCACAGGACAGAGCACAGCAGAAGAGAAGCAGTCATTCCTTCATTAAAAATATATATTTATTAGGAATGGGTGTTCGCCTAACAGCGAGGACATCCATGTCTCATATCAAACCCCCCCATGCCTGGGTTCGATATTGGTCTCTGGCTACTGACTGTGGCTTCCTGCTAATGCACACTCTGGGAGGCAGTAGTGACGGCTCAAATAGCTGGGTTCCTGCCACCCACGTGGAAGATCCAGACTGAGTTCCTGGCTCTTGTCTTTGGGCTTCCATGGGCATTTGCAGAGTAAACCAGCAGAAGGGAGCTCTCTATCTGCCTCTCAAATGAACAAACAATTTTTAAAGGTCCACATTAATTGAGTGCCTACTATTAATACTGAGATGATAAACTTTCTGCTACATTATAAAAGTAATTCCATTTAATACTGCACTGTACCCCGTAAAAAAAAAAGTATTACACATTAATCAAAAATTTTTTTAAAAAAGGAAAAAATTCCACTGGGCAACTTTAAAAGGAATGCTATAATATTTAAAGAAATGTGGCATCTAACATATTTAAAGCAATTTATTATAACAAAAAGTATATGCCGTATTTGATGCCAAGAAGTCATACGGAAAATAAACATGCCCGAGGGCAATTTTCTGACATGATCCATTAGGACATTTAATAGTTCAAAGCAGCAGCGTGTTGGAATGGAAAAAGACCTTGGACAAGAATCGCATCCAAGACACTACTCAGAAGCAGGCATCCTGCTTCTGCTGACCACTTCAAAGTGCTGGGGAGTCCGTTACTTTGTGAGGGAATGGAATGTAGGTCAGAATGCTTTGTTAGAAAGTCCTTTTTTTTTTAAAAAAAAGATTTATTTATTTGAAAGGCACAGTGACAGAGAGATGGGGGGGGCGGGGAGGAGAAAGAGAGATGGACAGACAGAGACAGAGATCTTCCATCCACTGGCCCACTCTCTAAGTGGTCGCAAGGGCTGAGGCTGAGCCAGGCTGAAGCCAGGAACTCCATGATCTCCCATGTGGGAGGCAGAGACCCCAGTACCTGGCTGTCTTCTGCCATACAAAGTGCTTTCTTAAACTACTTCCTATAACCTTGTTTCCCTCAACTAACTTAACTCCTTTTCCACATGATAGGTCTTCAGTACCTTCAGATGGCCGTCATGTTGCTTCCATGGCTTTCCCTGTTCCAGCCTGAACATCACAGGCATCTCATTGTTCTTCTAGACCACAGGTGGAACGGGTGTTCAGCCTAGCAGTTAAGATACCTGCCTTTCACTTGGGAGCACCTGGGTTCAAATCCCAGCTCAGACTCCTTATGCTAGCTAGCTTCCTGCTAATGCAGACCAGGGAGGCAGCAGTGATGACTCAAGTAACTGGGCTCCTGCCACCCACATGGGAGACCTGGATTGAGCTCCCAGCTCCTGACCTTGGCCTCATGGCAGTCCTGACCTACGGGGGTATTTGGGGAGTAAGTCAGTAAAGGGAAGCTGGTGTTCTCTCTCTTTCTGCCTCTCATATAAATAAATAAGTACAATTAAAAAAAAGAATCCCTTTGTTCATTTTGGATTCCATTCATTCATTCAGTAGTGAACACCTCATCATTGTAGCCTGGGAATAAGGCAGGGGGACAAAGGTCCCATGCCCAGTGGGAGGCTAACATTTGACAGGGAAGATAAGCTTTAAGAAAACAATTTCAAACACACACACACACACACACACAGCCACATATTTAATCTTTGGTAAAAATCTATGAAATAAACATAAAGCGTATGGTTAGAAACTTAGGGGAGACTTACCTGAGTAAGTGACATGTAAGCACATGGCAGAGAAAAGGGAGGCACCTACACTGGGAGAGGCGCAAAGAGGGTGGTGGTAGGATCTCTCCTGTGCAAAGGTCCTGAGGTGTGCACAGGGCAATTCAGAGAAGGCCAGGGTGATGAGCACACAGTGAGGACAGGAGAGCTCCAAGAGATGTGGCTGTGGATGTGGGGAGGGCGGGCCAGGTCCCATGGAGCTGTCAGGCCATATGCAACATTCTGATGTGTATTTTACACACAGTATAAAAGCAGTTTTAATGCTGAGTGCCGCCTTGGCTACTTTTTTTTTTTTTTTCTCCACATGCATTTCAGTTTCTCATTATTTCTAAAGGTGGATAATATGGTTAAGATGTGCTCTATCTAGTACAGACTTCAGCAAAACTCTTGGAGTGATGTATCATTTTTTCAACATAGCTAGAAGTTACTACTAGGTTTTATACTCAGGTCACTGGTCACCAAAAGAAAACAGAAATCAAAATTCTTTCCAGATAAACTGACAAACCATCATCTCCCTCATATCTCTGTTATGATTTCAACAACCAAAATGTAAAGAACTATTTATGTTAATTTGGAAAAACTGGCTTTGGGACAAACTCAAGAGCAATAATGCAAATACTATTTCACCTTTTACTCTGTCTTAATCTGGGATGATGCATCACATATTAGTTGTAAACCCTCCCCCAAAGCTTCTTTGTGGGAACTACAGCTTGCAGAGGGTCTTACCTTCGACCACATCCCTCTTGTAATCACTATCATTGTCACTATCTGTTGGTCGGTAATAAATGTAAAATCCTTGGATGGGAGTGTTATTGTTACTTGATGGAATGTACTAAAAAAAAAAGAGAAGCAAAGACTTGTCAAGGACAAAAATAAATGTTCATTGCACATCCATTAGGATTCACTTATCTGTATGGTAATATTTTTCTAGCCTCATTGTGCAAGCATACTTAATAACCACTTTTAACTGATTTCAAAACAATTGGGAGCATTTAGCTTTCTGGAGGGCTAAACAAAAATAAAGTGGTCCACTTAGCTAGGTTCAAAGGCATAATAGCACATTTGGTTCAAAATGAATAAAGCATTAAATGGCAATTAAGTTAATAACACTTGGATAAGAGCCAAGGAAAAAATAATTTTATTTTTTAATCCTGCCCTCCTTATAATACGTACTTTTAGACAAACATAATGCCCTCAATTTCCCCTCAATTAAATGTTCAAAAACGTGCTGTGTTCACAGTGCCGTGTCAGGAGAATATTAAGTTGACTGCTGCCGTGACCAGAGGAGACGTGTTCACGTACCGTCCACTTCAGCATGATCTGAGTGTCGCTGACCGCCTCTGTGTATGCGATGTGAGGTCCAGTTATTGGGCGGTTGGAAAACCGATTGGGGAACCCAGCCACCTGATAAGGACGAGATGCCGAACTCCGGAAACTCTCCCCATAATGGTTGATGGCAATGACCCTAAATTTGTATGTTGAACCTTTAGAGAAAAACAAAAACAAAAAAAAATATTACTAAAAGTCAGCTGTAATAAGACAACTGAGGGCCGAATAGTCAAAATATGGCCACTGTGCATGAAGTATCTATCTACAAATAACAAGAACAGACTCTAACACTGGAAGGTGATCAACTTCCATTTACCATCCCATTTACCAACTGCAAGCAGCTGGGACAGCTGTTCAGTGCACTGGGTTCCAGATTCCATGGCCTTCCAGGAGCCTGGGAGAGAAGGCTACGGAAGATGAATGGTGTCTCTTCAAGGGAGCCGGCAGAGGGCCGGGAAAAGGACATGTAAGCCTTTTACCACCCTGGTCTGAGTCATGCCCACCAAGGACAGTGAAGAATCTGTCTCCAAAACTAGGTTCTCTCACTTGGATAGAAATAGCTGAAGCTAAGTTTAACACGGTGAATACACTCTTATAAGGAAATGCCATGTGGGTGACAGCGGATGCCACACTGGTTTTCCTGAGAATACGCCAAAGGGGGAGCAGACCAAAATGACACAGGAGGAATTTATTTGGATTAGATATTAAGAACTTCAAAGAAAGCTAAGGATTGTGAATTTTTAAAATCTGAACCTAAAGAATACATTAAAACCCTAAAGCAAATTTCCTATTGCTTAAAAATAGTCACTGGCCTTCTGAAGACAAGGTGTTCAGTATGTAAGATGCCACCTGGCTTTGCCCATATTTAAAACTGTGACCTTCTCCCAACGCAACCTACACGTTCTCATGCTCCTCGCGTGACCTGTTTAGATACTCACGAGCATTTGTCATCAATGACAACTCAGAGTCCAGAAACAAAAATGGTCCCAAAACCCAAACAAATAAAAGTCAAGGTTATTCACACTTTTTCCTTTCCAGTTTCATATCTTCCATAGAGCCTTAGGTTGTTTTAGTTTTCGTTTTGTTTGTTTTTTTTTTGAATGGGGGGGCCTCCTCTGCTGAAACTGGTGTCAGTTGCCTCACTTCCATAACATTAAGTCTAACAGTGGACAGAGATTCAGCAGCAGAGCGAACGATTTCAGTTAGAGAGCAAGCAATTTTCCTCCTAACACAGTCTGCCTTCACAAAACACGTGCATGCAAAGATGCTTACCATACCATGATTTCCGATTGTGAATAAACAGGAACCACTTAAAGCCCAAAAGAACAAATGGTTAAGTAAGTTATGGTACACTTATAGAGCAGAAATACAGTTCCTAAACACGGAGTTCTGGGAGGCTGGGTGAGCCATGTCCCACATCAGATTGCTGGGTTTGAGTCTCTGCTCCAGCTTCCTGCTAACACAGGCCTTAGAGGCAGTGATGACGATGGCTGAAGCAGTCGGGCCCCCGCCACCCACGTCGGGGAACTGGGTGTGTTCCTGGCTGCCATCTTTAGGCCTGGCCCCAGCAGTCACGGGCATTTGGAAAGCGAACCAATGGACAGGATCTCTTTTTATCTCACTCCATCTCTCTGGGTCTCAAATACATGATTTTTTTTTAAATGAATTTTTTAAAATATTAGAAAACATACATAGTATGAGGGAAAAAAGACACAAAATGATATCTATGGCATAACCTTGGGTTGCATTAAAAAGTGAAAAAAGGCTAGAAAGAAATATATCAAAATAAAAACAACAGTTATCTGGCCAGGTGGATTTCAGGTGATTTACTTCCTTCTTTAAGGAATTCTTTATTGTCAATTTTGTTTTATTACAATAAGCATGCATTCCTTTAACAATTAGAAAATATGTAAGATTTTCAGACATATGTATCTAAAGTGATCACCAAGGTAAATAAAGGGAAAAGTTTGGACATTACTACCTGGCTCTAAGCTACGAACTTCCACAGAGAGTTTGGAGGGTGGGATATCTTCAGCTGCCACCAGCCAGTCACTGGTCCTCATCCGCTTGTACTCCACCTTGAAGGCAGTGATTGGCGAGCCCCCATTTGCCCGCGGAATCCAGGTGACATAGACGGACGTCTCTGACGCAGTGGAAATAGTAGGCCGGTCAGGTGCTTCCGGAACTGAAAACGGAAACGCGCATGTCAGGGACCCATGGTGTCAGACAGGAGTTAACTCAAATGGAAAGGGACAGATTCCGCACCTCACCTTCTGAAGGGTTCTCACCAGCTACCCTCCTATTCTTGCTCAAAACTCACATGGAATGAAATGGCCAAATATTGGAAATAAAAGCAAGGAAAAGGAAAATAATCTCTCAACTTGATTATAAGTTCTCAAAAACTGAAATGAGTTAGGATACTTTTGCCCATGCTGTTTTGGATTCAGACTATAACAATGTGTAGACAATTATTATTTGGTGCTTATGGAGAGCAGTATTAAACGACCCATAGTGCTTGGGCCCCTGCACCCACATGGGAGATCTGGAAGAAGCTCCTGGCTCCTGTCTTCGTATCTACATAGTGCTGGCCGTAGCGGCCATTAGGGGAGTGAACCAACGGAAGGAAGACCTTTCTCTCTCTCTCACTGTCTGTAACTCTGCCTCTCAAATAAATAAATAAATTTTTTTTAAAAATCTGATAAAATCAATAGTGATAACAATAAGCTCAGAATGAAAGCAGGAAGAGAGGAAAGGTGTCAACAGAAAACAGATGATTTCCATGAACACATAGAAAACGGATGTCAGAGAGCACACTACGATCTAGCAGTTTCCAGCTGGCGCTGCCAAGAGCAGAGGTTGCCCTCACCCAAACTGATGGTCTACACCCTGTGGCGGGTGCATTTAAACCATGCATCTAACTGCTCTAGCTGACCAGCAATCTGGCTGTCACTGGCTTCCCACCTGGTTCCGATGACAGTCAGTGCGAATCAGTCACTGTGGTTTATGCTGATCATCTGAGACTTTTGTGAAGGTGAGCTGGTCTCTCAGGAGACCAGCAGTGGCTTGGTCTGCCGGCCATCTCATTTCTAAGAGCTGGAACAAGAGGAACTGACTCTGAGCCATCACTTCTGTGAAGCCACTAAGGCAGCCCAGTCTGTCTACCTGATACCAAGCTTCCCACGCACCCTTCCACCTCCAAGCCTCTACAACCCACAGCAAAGATGAAACCAATGCTGGATGTGGAACTCGCATGGAGAAGAGGGTGACATTTGAAAAACAAATTGCTTAACAGAGAAAAGCATATTTAAAGCAGGCAACTTTAAGTAATACTTACTGTATTCCTTTCAAGTTAGAAAGCAATGGAAACAGAATGAATAGAACTGTTAGTTAACCTCCCTTTCACAGGAGAAACACAGACAACTTCCATGTACTGATTCAGAGGAGGTTAGAATTCATCAAACACCATAGATCAAATAGGGAGAGGAAGTTATTGGGAAAAAAAAATCTCTACAGAGGAGAATAACTTCAATATCTAAAAGAAAGAGTATGTGACCGTTATGGTATGAAACAAAGAACCTTGGACTTGAAGTCAAAAAACGTGGATTTGAATAACAATCTTCCCACTTTCTGGGTGATCTTAGACACGCTGCGCGGCCTCCTAATCGGTGAGACAGACAGGTTACCCTCCTCCTCCTGGTCGGCTCTGCTGGGTAACTGCCAATTCATGATTTCCAGAACTGAACTCTTGACCATTACCTAAAACTTCGTACTGCCTATCTTAAATTCATGATCCCCAGTTCCCAAGCCCAAGTCGCCATCTTTCTCCCTCTCTAGCTCCATCCATTCTGCCATTGTTTTAATTCTTCTTCCAGCCTTAGCTTTTGCCATCTCTCTCTCTCTTCCCCTACTTTAAAATCCCTTAGGGTTCTTTATTGCTTTCAGGGAAAGATTAAACTTTGAAGTGTATCATACAAGGCACCCAGCTGCCCACCCTATACCAGTAGCATTCCCATAGCAACCAGTCACACTAAGTGCAATCTCTCATCACCATCGCTACACAAAGCAGAAACACCAACCATCTGTCTCCTGCACTCCGAGATGTCTTTGCCTAGAACCTGTCTGGCTTCTTCCCTCAGCGATGTCTCTCTCATCCTTTGAGGCTTAGCTCCAATTGCTAAGGAGCCTCTCGTTATCCTATATCACCCAGAGTATAATCTTGAGCATTAGGAGTCAAAATCGTATTAACTTGTCTATACTGCCCATTCTGTAGTTATGGGCTTATCTGTCTGTGTTACCCACTATAACGCTATGGGTTTCGTTGTCTGTATCGTCCTCGCTACTATTACAGCTTAGCAGTCTGTATCATCTACTACACTGTAAACCTCTGGAAGGCAAGGGTTATTCTCTCTCGGCTGCTCTAGCATTGAGCATAGTGTCTACCCATGGCATATTAAATAAATAGTAAGGGGTTTGTTTTTCAGGCAGTAGTGTTATTCATATAAAGTTGACATTCACATAAGGAATCTGCTTAAAGTAGCGGCCACGGGCCTCACAGGTAGAAGTACTTGAGTAGAGAGGCTCACAAAACTGGGAAGGGCAGTTCAAAGTGTCAAACTGCTCCTGTCTGATACCAACTCACAGCAAACCATACAGACATGGAAGAGAAGTCTGGAAGCTCTTAAAGTGTGACAATGACATTTTGCATCTTCCCCAGATATCCTGACGGCTCAGCTCAATCCCACAAAGCACAACAGGCTGGGACAGTAGAGCCATCAGGTGAGACAAATCAATGCTAAAACGAATTCTTGAGAAGTTTACTGCTAAGGCATTTAAAAGCTATAAAATTAACTAGTCACAGCGATCCATGGACTATGACCTGTGGTCTTCCAGTAAAATAACAAATATTCCATTGAGTCAACAGAAAGAAAAAAGATTTTCAGAGCTGAAATCATACACCTAGCTTTCATGTTAGGACACAGAAAAGAATGCTTTTTCGTGAGTTATTAAAAACTTGGCAGCAAAATACGTCACATCTGAGTTTATTACCCAAATTGACACTTAGTTGCTGGGGTTTGAATACAGAACATTAAACATGGTTGAAACAGCTCCTAAAAGAACAATATGGAAAATAGGAAATAATCTAATAAACATCCCACCATACCCTAACCGCAAAGTCTGACACTGGCCAGTTACATTTGTAAACAAACAAAATGAATAGAAGGAAGAAGCTTCTCTTTACCTCCACTATGCCTGGAGGAATCAGTCAGAACCACTCCGAAACTGCTGTGCGCAGCTTCTGCGTCAACAGGAACCTTAGGGATGCCCACGGGAGGGGAGGACGCCTGGGCGTTTTTGGATGACGCTGTTTTCTCTAAAAAGGTTAAAAACCATACACTGTAATTTAAACATGTACATAAAGTTAATTTAACTGCTATAAAGATACAAAACTATTAACTCACCTGTCACAGCACCTAAATTAAGATCTAGGGCTTGGCCTTGCAATGGCCACCACTCAGGATACCCACGTCCCACACACACGTGCCTGGGTTTTAGTTCCAGCTCTACACCCAGTTCCTGCTCCCTGCTGATGTGCATCCTGGGAGGCATCAGATAATGGTTCCAGTCGTTGGGTTCCTGCTCCCCCATGGGAGACTCAGATTGCGCTCCCCACTACCAGTTTCTTTGGCCTGGCCCAGCCCCAGCCGTGTGGGCATCTGGGTAGTGAACCAGCAGATGGAAGACCCCTCTCTCTGTCTCTTTCCCTCTCTCTGTTTGTAACTATGCCTCTCAAGTAAATAAATAAATCCTTAAAAATCCAGCATACAGTGTCACGCTTTGTTTAAACACTCCAGCTCTCTGAGTTCCCTAGTGGCAAGGCTCACAAGATGCAGTGCGATTTGGCCACTCTGCTGTCTCCGAGCACCCCTCCCCGATGGGCTTCCTATCTCCTTTGTGTCCGTGACAATGGCACCCTTGGTATACAAAGGTACACCACACACACCCGCCCTGGGGTCACAGTACCTGCTGCTCTGCTGGGAACACTCTTCTCCCGGATCCCCACATGGCTTTCTGCTTCTCCATCTTCACCTCTGCTCTGATGTCGACAATGTCCCTGGTCACCTGCTTAAACGGTCACAGCTCCATTGCCAGACACTTCCCAAATTCATCTCCTCACTTACTTTCTTCTTGTTAATATCCACCACCTTCTAATGCACCTAATGATTTGGGTGTAAGTATCTCCTACCTAGGATGTTAGCTCCACAGGGGCAAGGAGTTTTGTCTGTTTTCTGTACTGCCTGACACAGAGAAGGCACTCAGTAAGTATTAGCAGAACTGAATTATATGCTGTCTTGTATTTCAGTACCTGCCTCCCCTTCCTTCCCATGGAAGGAGCTTGTCTTGAACATCTTTGTTTTCCCTGCATCATCTTTCATAATGGCTTGTCGATCAGCTCCCCAAAATATCTGTAGAATGTGAGATGGCATGGAACAACATAACCATCCAATGTGACTGAAAAAGGTATTATGACAGGCTTGCTCCGTAAATTTATATCTAAGAATCTCTGCAATCCAAAAGGATTCCTTTCATCTTTGAGAAGCAGAGAGACCAAGAGCAACAGTCATGAGAGCTCCTAGCTGCAGTTTCACTCCCAAAATGCCCAGGAACTGGTGGGAATCAACCCAGGTCTCCCATGTGGCTGGCAGGGACCCAACTGCTTGAGCCATCACCTGCTGCCTCCCAGGAAGCTGGAATCAGGAGCAGAGCTGAGACTCAAACCCAGGCACTCGGAATTAGGACGTGGGCATCCCATGTGGCATTTTAAACGCTGTACCTGAGGCCTACCCCTATCCAAAAGAGTTTTTCCAAGAAGTTGACATGAAGACAGCAGCTCATTCCTGCAAAGGACGACCATACTCACCTTTGCTGGTTCGGAAGGTAAGCATAGCAGGCTGCCCTTCGCCGGCTGCACTTCTTGCTACCATGAGAACCTCGTAAAGACTAGACGGCTCCAGTTCAGTTAAATGGAGCTCATTTTCACTTCCTGGGACTCGAACCGTGTGCCAGCTTCCCACTACACCAGCACCATCGTCCAGCTGCTCCAGAGAAAAACAGGAAACGGAGGGCAAGAAGCCGTTTGTTCAAATGTGATAAAAACTAGAGTTCACTCAATTCTGGGAGTTTGGGGACAGACACAATACTTCAAATTATGAATTATAAGGAGCCCCGTAGTAAGATTTCAGGGATTCTCACTGGAAAGACTCCTAGCTCTGCCATCTACCACTAACACGTGGTCTCACATTATCTGCCCCTCGAGTCTGTTTCCTTCACTCATAATGGAGACGCAAGCTACTGGATAAATAAAACAAGGTCTCAATAATATGTTTTATCGGTAATATATAATACACATAATAAAATGATACATTAAGATATTATATTACATGTGTATTAATGAATAACCATATGTTATCTATTTCCAGTATTTTTGCTTTATGTCTTGTTGAAGAAAGAAAAAGAGTCCCAACTGGTTGTTTCTTGGAATCAAGAGACAACACGGCATGGAAGTTTTAGGGCAGATAAACTGCCAGCAAACCTTACTTTCTTCATCTAGAATCAGGTTTAAAACAACAGATAAACTTTCAAATACCACCATCTTAGTTTTTTCAGTCATTAAAAATATTACCATTAAATTATGAACACCAACACATCTTAGACCAAGAAAATGATGTCAAATATACATATATCCCTTCCCATTCCATTCATTTACTAGTCTCCCTAAAGAAAGGAGCTCCTCATTTTGCTTTAATATGAACCCATAGAGGGAAAACATTAGCTAAAAAAATCAACTGAGAGAGGCCAGAGGTTTACCAAAATAAATGACCAACTAATGCTAAGATTCTGATGCAATGAAGAAGACAACTTCAAATGCAAACAACTGTCCGGACTATACCAGAGGACTCTGTTCAAACAGTTGCTTCTAATAAGAAACTAGTTTATTTGCTTAATAAACAGTATTCTACTATTTTAGAGAAGGAAAGAATTACTATTTTAAAAGTGGTAATGGAGTTTTACACTCCAAGGAGTAAAACATTTGACAAAAAATTGTCAAAAAATGTCAAAACATTTGAAAAAAAACATGCTGTGCACATCCATCTTGTGGCTTTTTGGATGCTAACAACCCAGCATGATTAGCAGGCTATCTCTGATCAACCCAGCCTGATCGGTGGGTTTCTCGGAACATCATTCTGACACAACCTCGTTCTGCCTCCTGCCAGTCCACAAACGTGGAAGATAATAAGTGTTCTTTATACCAGCAGAGTAAAAGGGTGAGAAGGGAAAGACAATAAATAAGATGCTACCTTTCGATACTTCACAAAATAGGCGTTGATGGGCAGGCCGCCATCCTTCCCTGCTCTCCACACCAGGTTGTATGTGTCTGGGGTATGAGTCTGCGGAGGGCTCAGGATAATGGGGGCGTCAGGCACAGAGGCACCACTCGCATTTTTCTCAGATGATGACTCTACCGCACCGGGATGCTCTTTCTCTGGAAGTGAGCCCAATAATCCACTTTCTGAGCCATCTCTTTCATCATTCTGAGTAGCATCAGAAGGTGTGACTGTTTCTGCTTTTGTATTTGTTTCAAAAGGAACTGCAGAGAGAGAATGAGAGGAGATGCCTTGAAGAAACTCGTCATTTAAATATCTTCTACCCACTTAGTGGTGTACCTGCCCACACTGATACTGTTTAACACAAGTTGAGCCGAAGTTAAAATCAGTTACATTTCAATTTACAATTTATGGAAGCATCTAACTTCTACTGCCAATCTCTAGGTCGTGGGAGAGCAAATAAATTATCTGAAAAACCGACTGTATGAGGCAATCATTTAGCAGTTTAAAGGCTTTAAAATTCTTTTTCCCTTGCTCTGTATTAGTATTCTCTCCTTTACAATGGCATTTGCTAGTTTAACTGCAGAAAATTTTAAGTTGAAGATCATTAGGCTTCAACTGCAGTTAGCAAAGGAAACACAAGAGTGACATGTTCCATGGGGAACAGGCTCTCACATACTGGGTAATGAGTCTCCAAAAATAACATCCCAGTACCCACTCCCTGCCAGCACTCACACCATGGGGCAGTCCCCTCCCCCATGAATCCAGGCCGAAGCCTCGAGAAGATCTGGCGCTTCTACATTTACTTGTACTTCCAGGATCTGTTCACCACCATACACAGAGGTCTAACCTCGCCATGTAGAGGGAGTACATGAAGAGAGACAGAGGTGGGGGCTGCAGTCCCCACAGAGGCTCCACACAGGTACATGAGACGAGTGTCAGCTATCTGACTACAACTACCTATGAGACCCTAAGCAAGGCCAGCAGAGAAATTGCTCAGCTGCAGCTATAACCCCCAGCATCATGAGAGGTAGTAAAGGGGTTATTGTGTTCAGTCCCTAATCTTTTGGGTAGTTATGCAGCAATAGATGGCACATCCAATAGACACCTATCCTATTGGGAAGAGGAAGAAATGACAGGAATAAGACAAGTACAGCCAAAGGAAGATTTCCAAGCCCAATTTCTGGAGAAAATTGAGGACTGCGTAAGAAATTATTAACCTTAAGATAGACAAAACAAGCAGGCAGCCTTCACAACACTACCAACAGCAGAGAGGACACACAGAGGAAGGTAAAATAATTTAATGGCACTGAAAAAGTGAATAGGCTTTGCATCACCAAATTACTGAGCACATTTTATGAGCCTATGCCACGCATCGCACTAGACACAGAGGGGCTTCAGAAAGCTTGTGGGACAGAGATGATAAATCTTCCATGAGCTTTTGGAAGCCCCTCATTTTTACAAATAGGATCTTATTTCATTCTCCACACAACATTCTTAGGCGAATGGTAATACTCCCACTTCTACAGATGAAGAAATTAAGAGTTCTGAGAGACTAAGTGACAACAGCTGTCAGAAGAATGTGAGTGGCGCTACTCTGAACGAACAGCAATTTATGGAAACACACTGCCCGGCCAGGGAAACCCAAGGCTTGCCAGCTCACGCACCCCAACGTCGCACTCATACAGGCAACAGAAAGGCCTCCTATTCCTCAGGGCTGTGTGGAAGATGGAAGCAGAGGAGCCAACGTTCTAGGCTCTTTCCCACCACGAAGTCAGATTCCTGCTAAAGGAGGAGATAGGCTTTTAGGAGAACTACTGTGCTTTAGTAGAGGACCCAGGGAGAACAGGCCTCCTGGTGCAAGGTCAGCTCTCTGTTAGTTTACAAGCGAGAAAGAGAGTCCCAGGAGCATCCTCCATCAAAGAAAACAAGACGCTAGTGAGGAAATAATGTAGAAGAAAACTAATTAAGTTCCCTGAGACAACTTGCAAATATTGCTCCTGGAACAGCCGTGTTTATCCAGTGAGTCAGCGGGTGGACTGGAGGTCTGGGGTTGCTCTGGGGCCTGCTAACGTGGAGAAACGGACTCTAGCACTGGGAGTGGAAAGGGACTGATTAATCTTTAGTAGTCTTCCCGGATCCTGCGGGCAGGTTCCCATCAGGAAGTGGAATTTGGCTGTAGAAGAGTTTAAACACCACACGCCTCAGTTGACGCAGAAGCATCAGAAACACCTGTCCACCCCATTCAGGAGGCAATGAGACCTCTCGACTACTTTCATTAAAGAGGGGATTCTCTCCTCCACAGTTCCCAGTCATATCATGTGGGCACTCACAAGACAGTCGACACAACTTAAAAGGCCTTAACAGGATGGATGGGGTCTGTACTGATCAAACCACGGTGAGTGGAACATACCGTGAGTCTAAGATGCTAACACACCTCTCCTACCCTGCCTCCTAGCTTAGCAGGACAGTGCACTGCAGAGTGCCAGCTGTTTCCTCTCCTGACTGCAAGACACACTGGAAGCTGTGCTTGCTGCTGCTGCACTTGCTGGGGACAGCAGACTCCAACATCCCCACTACGGTTTCTGCTTAAAGGTATCATTTTTGGGGCCAGTGCTGTGGCACAGCAGGTTAACACCCTGGCTGAAGCGCTGGCATCCCATATGGGTGCAGGTTCTAGTCCCGGCTGCTCCACTTCTGATCCAGCTCTCTGCTATGGCCTGGGAAAGCAGCAGAGGATGGCCCAAGCGCTTGGGCCCCTACACCCACATGGGAGACCCAGAAAAAGCTCCTGGCTCCTGGCTTCGGATCAGCGCAGCTCCAGCCATTGCGGCCAATTGGGGAGTGAACCATGAGATGAAGACCCCCCCCCCCACCTCTCCTCTCTGTGTAACTCTTTCAAAATAAATAAAATCTTAAAAATAAAAAAAGGTATCACTTTTGTACTATCAAAAAGCCAAAAGATTTTAAGTTAAATCATAAGTGGGGCACTGTCTGAACTTTCAAAAATGTTTCCAGGTGTGTTATTCCAATTTATCATCAAAACAATGCTGTGGAACGGTTAATATAGATATCTAGTTTGGTTTTTATTTTTTAGGGAAGACTTTTTTTTCAAATTGGAAGAGACTGAGAAAACTAACAATGTAAATGAATTTAATGACTCTGAATTGAAATTAATTAAATAGGGTATATAACCAGATCTGTCAAAAATGTTCCCCTTGGAATATTCATCCCAGCAATTCCCTACCTCAAACCATTCAGGAAACCCAGACAATCCCATAATTTGTGAAGAGTTATAACTCACTGTGTAAATATTTGTACATGCAGGACCTCAAAAACCCAAGGTCTCTGGAAAGACAGGAGGGAGTCATCGCTCCCCAGGACCTGGCTTGCTCCCCACTTCACAACAAAGTGAGTGACATCAGCATCCTAGAATTTGGTGGGGCAGAGTGCTGTGCAAAGAAGTGGCCAGTTAAGCACTGTTTTGAGTGGTAATAAACTCAGCTGGCTCTTCACAGTTATAGAGCCTGTTACTAGACTTAGTGCAGGACCACTGAGGTAGGATGTGGTTGATGGGATTAGCATACACAAAAGTGGTATTTGTCAAGACCTAAAGCCCTGCAGCAGGGGGAAATCTTAAAGATCTTCTAATATTAAGTCAGTTTTTATAACTTTCAAGGGCTTCAGATCTCACATATTTAAAGTGAGGAAGTCAGACAAACTACCTAGGTCCATCAGTTATGACTATTATGCCTATGTCTCATTAAACCCTATATTTACATAAAATAATCACTTGACTATACCTGTTCTACAGATGAGGAAACAGAGAAGTTCAGGAGCCGGCCCAAGTCGCAGAGCTCCTGAGTGGCAGCACCACGACTCTAACACACCCTCTGCTTCCCGTCCACATCCGTCCCACCTCTCACACTCACACAGCAAGCAGTATGAAGGCATAAATGCAAGTCTTTGGCCTTCCCCACATCTCTGGCTCCATCCTGAGCTGGGGGGCCCTCGTATGCATGTGAAAGGAAACAGCGGTGTACACATCCAAATCCGTGTACTTCAACCACCCACTCTTGCCATCACCCACTGGCCACTCCTCTGGCTTAAGGGTGCCCACACCCTGGTAATATGGTCCATACTGTGGAGCATGGGCCAGGGAAACACCTCCCTGGAAACACACTGTGAACCAATTACTGCAGGGAGTTCTGGAGCCGGGATCTGTTGCCCAGAAGGAGGAACATGGGCTCCAGGCTTTGGGAGGCAGAAGCAGCCATGGCCTCTTTGAGCCCCGAGACCCGAGAACCCAACTAGAAGAAGGCTACAAGATGAACTCTCAGGGGCCGACGCTGTGGCACAGTGGGCTAAAAGCCCCAGCATGCAGCACAGGCATCCCATATGGGATATGGGCACCGCTTAGAGTGCCAGCTGCTCCACTTCTCATCCAGCAACGTGCTAATGCATCTAGGAAAGCAGCAGAGGATGGCCTAAGTCCTTGAGCCCCTTCACCCACATGGGAGATCTGGAAGAAGCTCTGGGCTCCAGGCTTTGGGGAATGAACCAGCAGATGGAAGACCGACCTCTCTTTCTTTCTTTACCTCTCTGTAACTTTGTCTTTCAAATAAAAAAAAAAAATTAAATCTTTAAAAAAAAAAAAGATGACATCTCAAGCAGATGTCCAGGGAAGGGACTTCAATAGTCTAAGACAAAGACAACTCTGCCTTTGATATTCTGCCTCTCACAGGGTAAATATGCCAAATTCCTCTAACCAAGTGACTGCGACTGGGAATGGCTGCTCTAAATGCCTGCTGGCTAGGGCCGGCACTGAGGCATAGCAGGTGAGGCCGCTGCCTGCAGTGCTGGCATCCTGTATGGGCACCGGTTCCTGTCCCGGCTGCTTCACTTCTGATTCAGCTCTCTGCTATGGCCTGGGAAGGCAGTGGAGGATGGCCCAGGTCTCTGGAACCCTGCTTCCACCTGGGAGACCTGGAGGAGGTTCCTGGCTCCTGACCTCACATGGCACAGCTCTGGCTGTTGCGACCATTTGGGGAATGAGCCAGCAGGTAGACTTTCTTTCTCTCTTTCAATTTCTCTGTAACTCTTCCTTTCAAATAAATAAATAAATCTTAAATAAATAAATGCCTGCTGGTATAAGGTCTGAATTTGAAAAAGTCATATTGGAATTAAGTTTAATTTTGATATTCTATATATCTGTACTTTAAAAAATCATATAAAGTTTTAAGTCATTATGACCAAAAACTAGTAAAATATAAAGAATTACTTTAGGGCCCGGCACTGTGGCACAGTGGGTTAATGCCCTGGCCTGAAGCGCCGGCATCCCATATGGGCACTGGCTTGAATCCAGCTGCTCCTCTTTCAATCCAGCTCTCTGCTATGGCCTGGGATAGCAGTGGAAGATGGCCCAAGTCCTTGGGCCCCCGCACCCGTGTAGGAGACTGGAGGAGGCTCCTGGCTCCTGGCTTCGGATCAGTGCAGCTCTGGCCGTTGCGGCCAACTGGGGAGTGAACCAGTGGATGGAAGACCTCTCTCTCTGCCTTTCCTCTCTCTGTGTAACTCTGACTTTCAGATAAATAAATAAATCTTAAAAAAAAATTACTTTAGGGGCCAGCACTGTGGCGCAGCAGGTTATTGCCCTGGCCTGAAGCGCTGGCATACCATATGGGCGCTGGTTCGAGACCCAGCTGCTCCTCTTCCGATCCAGCTCTCTGCTATGGCCTGGGTAGCAGTGGAAGAAGTCCTTGGGCCCCTGCACCCAAGTGGGAGACCCGGAAAACACTCCTAGCTCCTGGCTTCGGATTGGCCCAGCTCTAGCCGTTGCAGCCAATTGGGGAGTGAACCATCGGATGGAAGACTTCTTTTTTTCTTTTTTTTTTTTTTTACAGGCAGAGTGTACAGTGAGAGAGAGAGTCAGAGAGAAAGGTCTTCCTTTGCCGTTGGTTCACCCTCCAATGGCTGCCGCGGCCGGCGCATCACGCTGATCCGAAGCCAGGAGCCAGGTGCTTTTCCTGGTCTCCCATGGGGTGCAGGGCCCAAGCACTTGGGCCATCCTCCACTGCACTCCCTGGCCACAGCAGAGAGCTGGCCTGGAAGAGGGGCAACCGGGAAGACTTCTTTCTTTCTGGCTCTCTGCCTCCCCTCTCTATTACTCTTTCAAATAAATAAATCTTTAAAAGAATTATATATCTCTCTCACTGTCTAACTCTACCTGTCAAAATTAAAAAAAAAATAAAGAATTACTTTAAATCCCATTAGAAAAATAACTTTGGATAAAATGGGTGAATACTTACATGCAGGTACTGTTGATACTACTACAACTCTACATTGTCAATGAAAGCCAACCCTTTAGATTTTGAATACTGTCCTTATCAATGGCTCACCTGAAATCATTTGCAATGATTTTCAGTAACTAAGAAAACCAAAGCCTCAAGCCCTAATACAGCTAAATTCTCGGCTTGCTCCAGAATAAACCTTCTATATGACAACTGCAAGCTTAACAAACAAATTAGAAACAGATCACTTGATTTATATTAAAGCCAAACCTCAAAAACATAGTTCTACATTCACTGTCATTGGGAAAAAATATATCTTCAGATTGCTGGATTCCTTAAAATAACCTATTTCAAATAACTGAATCCCCTATTATGCAAGGAAATTTTCATCTAAAATATTAACAACTCACCAACTGTTAGAAATGCTTCTGACCGTGTGGTACCATGTTCATTTGTAGCTTCACAGATAAATTTCCCAGCATGCTCCCGGGTAGCAGCCTGAATATAGAGAGAGCTTGAGCCAGCCCGAGACATGATGAAGTAGACAGGCTCCAAGTCAAAGCCCCGGGGCCTTCCTAAGTGTGCTTTTCGGGATTTAGACCTAAGGACTTGAGATGGATGGTTGGTGATCAACCCATGGCTGTCATACCAGCGAATGACCGGAACTGGCATTCCAGTGGCATTGCAGGACAAAGTCACAAAGTCTCCATCTACCACTTCTGCACTTGCTGGCGCTGTCATTATAACTGGTTTGAATCCACTGTCTATTAAAAAAGTAATTCACAAACAAAAATTAAGAACATTATAGTACCTACAATGGAAAATAACTCCAACCTATTGCACAAATGTGACAGGAATGATTAGAAAGAAGATAAATTTTCTTAACTTTTACCATAAAAAAAAACTAACAGAATTTTTCAGAATTGTAGGCTCCTAAACATTTCCTGTCCTTCAGAAAAGACTTCCTGTCCTTCAGAAAGAAAGGAAAGTATAAAGAAACCTGTTGAGAGCTTTCCAATAGCTAAACTGCATACATCTGGCCACTCTCTGTAAATATAGGATATGTGAAGACAAAACCTTAGACCTTAACATGAAAAAAGTTACGGAGAGAGAGGAAGAGAGAGATCGATCTTCCATTCACTGTTTCGCTCCCCAAATGGCCACAATGGCTGGAGTTGGTACAAGCCAAAAACCAGCAGCAGGGAACCCCATTCAGGTCTCCAATGTGGGTGGCAGGGATCCAAATATCTGGGCCATCTTCCACTGCTTTCCCAGGGACATAAGCAGGGAGCTGGATCAGAAGTGGAGCAGCTGGGACTAGTATCAGATAAGGGCACCATAGGTGGCAGCTTAACATGTAACACAGGCCCTTCTGTAGGTATTTTTCTTTCTAAATATTTATTTATTTATTTGAAAGGCAGAGTTACAGAGGCAGAGGCAGAGACAGAGAGAGAGACAGAGACAGACAGAGAGAGGTTCTCTATCTGCTGGTTCATCCCCCAAATGGCCACAACAGCTGGAGCTGGCCAATCCGAAGCCAAGAGCTTCTTCTGGGTCTCCCACACAGGTGCAGGGGCCCAAGGACTTGGGCCATCTTCTACTGCTTTCCCAGGCCATAGCAGAGAGCTGCATCAGAAGTGGAGCAGCCGGGACTCGAACTGGCACTCATATGGGATGCCAGCACTGCAGGTGTCGGCCCTGTAGGTATTTTTAAGTGAAGCTACCATAGAATACTTTTCTCCAGGATATATTTCCTTGTCTCTATTCCCACTTCCCAAGTCTGACAAAATCAACCAGTATCCACTTCAGGTTTCCGATTTTTTTGGCCAAGTGTGAAATGCTAGTCCACTGATAACTACCTATACTTTCCTGAGCATTCTCGAAGTTGAGTATCTTTTCGTATGTTCATGTGCCACTCATATTTTTCTTCATCTGTGGAATACTTTTTGTCACGGTTCCTGTGTGTTCATTTATCTTTTCTGCAATGGTTCAGAGGTCTCTGTGTCTACCAATATGGTTCATTTGATTAGTTCTGAATGTTACTAGTACCCTTCAGCCTTCCTGCTTTCCTTTGTACTTTTTAACACTGCCTTTTAAGAATGAGGACATTTTCATGGCAGTGAAGTAGTATCTTTTAAAATTAGCCTTTTAAAAGGTCTTACTGGGGCCAGCACTGTAGCTGTAGCATAGCAGGTAAAGCTGCCACCTGTGGTGCCGGCATCGCATATGGGCACCAGTTCAAGTCTCAGCTGCTCCACTTCCGATCCAACTCTCTGCTATGACCTGGGAAGGCAGTGGAAGATGGTCCAAGTCGTTGGGCCCCTGCACCCATGTGGGAGACCCGGAGGAAGCTCCTGGCTCCTGGTGTCGCATTGGCTCAACTCTGGCCATTGCAGCCATTTAGGGAATAGACCAGCAGATGGAGGACTTTCTCTCTCTCTCCCACACTCTCTCTCTCTCTCTCTTCTCTATCTGCCTCTGCCTCTCTGTAAAATCTGCCTTTCAAATAAACAAATAAATATTTTATAAAAAGTCTTATTAAAGAGTTTAACCCACAAACCATAAATTCTCCAATATTTTCTTTAATAATGTTTCTATTTTCTTTCATACTGAAGTCTTTAATCTACTGGGAATGTATCTTTGTACATATGACGTGAGTTAAAATTTAATTTCATTTTTTTCTCCATTTTGATAACCAGTTCCACCACATGAGAACTAGGAGCAGACAGCCTCCCTGGGGGCTGAGATGCCCTCATGCACAGATGTCTTTTCACAGTCTTTATCATGTTCCAAGACTTTAGCTGCTCCTGTTCCAATACAACACTTTCAGAATCACCATAGAGCTTTTATATATGTATGGCAAGTTTCCTGTGTTCTTTTTCTTCTTTTAACGTGCCACTTGGGACACCAACATCCCGTATCTGGGTTCAGACCCTGGCTCCTCTTCCAATTCCAGTTGCTGCAGATGTGCAGGTGATGGCTCAAGCACTTAGGTCCTTGCCACCCATATAAAAGACTGACAAATACAAATTTTAAAAATATAACAATAGCTGGCAAACTGAAATATTTTATGTTGACAACCATATCAGCTATAAATTAATACCAATTTTGTTTCTTGATTTCATGTCTTTTTCTGCTGTTAGAATCTCTAGTACAATGACTAGAAGACATTATAAAGGGAGAAATTCTAATATAACCTCATTATAATGTCTTTTTAAAAACTGATGTTTCCTCGGCCGGCGCCGCGGCTCACTAGGCTAATCCTCCGCCTTGCGGCGCCAGCACACCGGGTTCTAGTCCCAGTCGGGGCGCCGGAGTCTGTCCCGGTTGCCCCTCTTCCAGGCCAGCTCTCTGCTGTGGCCAGGGAGTGCAGTGGAGGATGGCCCAAGTCCTTGGGCCCTGCACCCCATGGGAGACCAGGAGAAGTACCTGGCTCCTGCCATCGGATCAGTGCGGTGCGCCAGCCACAGCGCGCCAGCCGCGGCAGCCATTGGAGGGTGAACCAACGGCAAAGGAAGACCTTTCTCTCTGTCTCTCTCACTGTCCACTCTGTTAAAAAAATAATAATAATAAAAATAAATAATAAAAAAACTGATGTTTCCTGTTAGTTTGTCAGACACTCTATAGTCAAGAAAAAATTTGTTCTGGGGTCCCTGTAGTGATGCAGCAGGTAAAGATGCCGCCTGCAATGCTGGCATCCCATATAGGGGCCAGTTTGAGTCCCGGCTGCTCCACTTCTGATCCAGCTCCCTGCTAATGTGCCTGGAAAAGCAGCACAAGATGGCCCAAGTGCTTGGGCCCCTGACACCCATATGGAAGACTCAGTTGGAACTCCTGGTTCATAGCTTCAGCCTGGCCCAGCCCTGGCCACTGAAGCCACTTGGAAAGTAAACCAGGGGGCCAGCACTGTGGCGTAGTGGGTAAAAGCCACCACCTGCAGTGCCCACATCCCATATGAGTGCCAGTTCAAGTCCTGATTGCTCCACTTCCAATCCAGCTCTCTGCTATGGCCTGGGATAGCAGTGGAAGATGGCCCAAGTGCTTGGGCCCCTGCACCTGCAGGGGAGACCCAGAAGAAGCTCCTGGCTCCTGGCTTCGGATCGGCACAGCTCCAGCCGTTTTGGCCAACTGGGGAGTGAACCAGTGGATGGAAGACCTTTCTCTCTACCTCTCCTTTCTCTCTGTGTAACTCTGACTCTCAAGTAAATAAACACATCCTTTAAAAAAAAAAAAAAAAAAAGTAAACCAGTGGGTGGAAGATCTCTCTGCCTCTCCCTCTCTCTGTAACCCAAATTTTCAAATAAATAAATCTTTTAAAAAGAAAATATCTTTCTATTTCCATTTTTTTAACATGGACCCCAGTAGCCAAGAGCCTGAGCACCAGCTTTGGAGAGAGAGGTGAGACCAGGCTACAGCAGCTCAAGCCACTGGTTATAAAGCTGCAGGAAGGGCCTGGTCTAAGTCCGGCTTGGAGTTCTGTGGCGAACAGTATACCTGCCAACCTAGAGGAAAAAAAGGGGGCACGTTTCTCTCTCCCCAACCACTTGGCACTGGCATCCTGTAACTAGCTAAGAGGGGGTGGGTGCCATTGTGGACACACATAACAGCTGTGCGAGCTCATGTCCACGTGCCCCACAACCAATCGAGAGGAAACACCTGAGTCTGGCTGGGAGCACTGACAAGGGGCTCAGTGATCATGACTGTGGGAACCTGTGTGCCTGGACTGTGAAAATATTGTGGCTGTGTGTGAGGGCGCAGGTGTGGCTGGGACTTTGGGCAGTCACTGTGAGCATGTGAGCTGCCCACATGCTCGGGGCTCTTTAATTCCCTTGTGAGAGTCATTATTGCAGGATCTGTGCTCACACCAAGGACTACATGGATCCTTTGTGTGTTTCTTGTGGCAGTGCGAACGAATATTATACCTACTGGGGCTAGCGACCAGTTCGCTAGCACCTGGCTATTTAAAAGAAATGTTAATGGAGTGTTGTGGGTGGGAGGGAAGTTATGGGGGGGGGGACAGCTATTGTAATCCATAATCTGTACTTTGGAAATTTATGTTCATAAAATAAAATAAAATAAAATAAAATAAAATAAAATAAAATAAAATAAAATAAAAAATAAAATAAAATAAAAGTTAATGGATCTAAAGGGAGACATAGACTCCCATACAATAGTAATGAGACTTCAATACCCTACTTTCAGCAATGGAGAAATCAAGCAGACAGAAAATCAGCAAGGAGCCAGCCAGTCGACACGATACACCAAATGGACCTGATGGACATCTACAGAAATTTCCATCCTACAGTTGCAGAATACACATTCTCACCAGTGCGTGAACTTTCTCTAGCATAGATCACAGGCCAGGCCATAAAGCAAGTCTCAGCAAATCCAAAAAAATCGAAATCATACCATGCATCTTCTCTAACCATGATGGAATGAAGCTGGAAACCAACAACTCAAGAATCTCTAGAACATATGCAAACACATGGAGACTGGACAACATGCTCCTGAATGAACAGAGTCATAGAAGAAATCAAAAAACTGTTGAGGAATGGTTTTTTTTTTGACTATTTGTTGAACTCTTAGTATAATCTTCTGTGTATAAAGTTAATTGAAAGTAGATTTTAGTAAAAAATAATGAGTGGGAGGAGGAGGAGGAAGTGAGGTCAGAGAGCAGGTGGGAGTGGGGCATGGTGGGAAGAATCATGATGTTACTAAAATTCTATTTGTGAAATGCATGAAGTTTATATATACCTTCAATAAAAGGTTTCTGGAGGGAAATTTCGCATTACCTTTCACAAAAGGAAAACAAAAAGCTTGGCATTGACTTTCCTTTCCCGTAGCATTCCTGCATGATTTTGGAATCGAGATTATACTGCCTGGATCGTCTCCACCTTTTCCTTTCCTCTGGAAGCATCTGTGTAGTATCTGGAAAGGTCTATTATTTCAAAGTTTGGCAGAATCCTCCAGGAGACCATCTGGCCTGGTGTTTTCTTTGTGGGAAGATTTTCAACTGCTAATTCAATGTGTTTCATAGTTGTAGGGCTATTCACACTTTTTCTTCTCGTCAGCTTCACTGTTATATTTTCCCTTAGAATCTGTCTATTTCTGTCTATGTTTGAAAACTAATCTTATCACAGTCTTCTTATTTTTAATCTCTACAAGCCTTTCACTTATTGTCCCATTTTTATTCCTAATAATTTAATTGTACCTGCTCTCCTCTTGCTCAATCTTGCCAAAAATGTGTCCATTTTATTAGACTTTTCAAAGGACTAATTTCTATCATTATTGATGCTCTCTATTTCACCTTTATTTTCTACTTAATTCATTCCTGCCTTATATTAGGTTTTTAATTCTGTACTGCATTTGTCCATTCTTCTGTTCTTTTACTCAGTTCACCATATTTCAGTCTTACTGATTTTCTTTTATAGTCATCTAAGGCTATAAATTTCTTACTAAATCCCATTTTTGCTATTTCCCATAAAACTTGACCTATAGCATTTTCATTACTATTCAGTCCAAAATATTTTACATTTCCATTATGATTTCTTTTTGAGCCAGGCTTGGGAAGTATAATTTTAAATTTCCAAGTACATGGTAATTTTTATTCTTAAATTATCTAATGATTACTAATTTTAAAATTAATTGCACAAAGGTTAGAAAATGTGGTCTATCTCATACTTATTCCCTAAAATTTGAAATATTTACAACTCATGACAGATAAACTATTAATTTCTCTCTATATATAAAGAACTCATATATCAGTAGGAAAAAAGACTTAATCCATCTATTTTTGTAAAATGAGTAAAAAAAGAATGAAGAGTCAATACACAGGAAAGCAAACTCAAATGATCCATAAATATATGAAAGGACACCCAACTTCTCTCATAAGAAAAGAAATAGAGATTAATAGATGTGTTTCCTTTTTTCCTTTGGATAAGTAAAGACTTCTTAAGGACTGACATTACCCCTCCTTGGTCAGACATTGCTGGTGGGAGTTAAATAAGTCACAATTATGGACAGCAATCCAACAGCATCTATCAAAAACACACATCTGGTCTTATTCTGCAAATTCATTTCTAGAAATTTGTTCTGATATACATGTGCTAAATAATCTTTATAGGAAAGCATTCATTATAGAACTGTTTGTAGTAGCAGCAGATCAGAAACAGCCAATGAGGCACTGGTCAGGCTGCTCAACCACACAATGGAATACTGAGCAGTCACTCAGAAAAGGAATGAAAATATCCCCTCTGTGTACCACATGGGGAGACAGCCGAGGGGTGTGTTAAGTGGACAATTTTAAGGCAAAGAATGCGGGGCAGGCACTTAGCCTTGCAGTCAAGATGCCCACATCCCACAGCAGAGTATTGCTTTCAATTCTCAGCTCCAGCTCCCAATTCCAGCTTCCTGCCAATGGAGACCCTGGGAGGCAGTGGTGACAGGTCAACTGGTTGGGTCCCTGCCACCCATGTGAGAGACCTGGATTCAGTTCCTGGCTCCCAAATTCAGCCCTGGGCCAGTTCTGGCTGCTGCAGGTATTTAGGGAGTAAACTAGTAGATGCATGCTCTATCTGTGTGTGTCTGTGTGTGTGTGTGTGTGTGTGTGTGTGTTTCTCTCTGCCTCTCAAATGCTGCCATGATTTATGTTAAAAAATACAGATTACAAAATGCAAGTACACACACATGTATGCAAGCACACACTGCTTGCATGTTCATATATACAAGTATTCAAGAAATAGATAAAACTAGTTAGTTCTTCTTTTTTAAGATTTACTTTATTTATTTGAAAGACATGAGTTATAGAGAGAGGTAGAAACAGAGAGAGGTAAGTCTTCGAACCACTGGCTCACTCCCCAAAATGGCTGCAACAGCCAGGGCTGAACTGATCTGAAGCCAGGAGACAGGAGCTTCTTCTGGGTTTCTCACATGGATGCAGGGGCCCAAGGCCTTTAGTCATCCTCTGCTGCTTTGCCAGGTACATTAGCAGGAATCTGGATCAGAGGTGGTGCAGCTGGGACTCAAACCAGCGCCCATATGAGATGCAAGCTCTGCAGGCCAGGGCTTTAACCTGCTTTGCCACAACGCCAGCCCTCTAATTAGTTCTAAAGAGGGAATCTCACTGGCTAGAGAACAGGAATGAGAGAGACTTTACCTACAATTTTTTAACTATGTAGTACATACTGCAAATTTGGTACAGTATGTTAAGCCACTACCTGTGATGCTAGCATCACACATGAGCACCAGTTGGAGTCCTGGCTGCTCCACTTCTGATCGAGTTCTCTGCTAATGCACATAGGAAAGCAGTAGATGACAGCCGGAGTGCTTCAGCCCCTGCCACCCATGTGGGAAAACTGGATAGAGTTCCAGGCTCCTGGCTTCAGCCTGGCCTAGACCTGGCCATTGCAACCATTTGGGGAATGAACCAATAGATCAAAGATCCTTCTCTCTCTCTCTCTCTCTCTCTCTCCCTCTCTCTCTCTCTCTATCTCTATCTCCCTCCAAGTCTCCCTTTTAAATAAATAAATAAATTTTTTAAATGTTCTTATAATGAGCTTGATGAAATAAGGTTGCTTCTTTATAAAAATACTTATCTGCCACTAGATAGGAACCTGAACATAATGCTAGTGTTGTGGTAGCATTATTTTCTTTTAGTAAAAATGATTTCATTTTGAACCACCTTATAAAAGTCTATCCAGGGGCTGGTGCTGTGGCGTAGTGGGTAAAGCCGCAACCTGCAGTGCCAGCATCCCATATGGGTGCCAATTCAAGTCCTGGCTGCTCTATGTCCGATCCAGCTCTCTGCTATGGCCTGGGAAAACAGTAGAAGATGACCCAAGTCTTTGGGCCGCTGCACCCGGGTGGGAGACCTGGAGGAATCTCCTGGCTCCTGGCTTCGGATCAGCGCAACCAGCGGATGGAAGACCTCTCTCTCTCTGCCTCTCCTTCTCTATGTGACTCTTTCAAATAAATAAATCTTTAAAAAAAAAAAAAAAAAAAAAAAAAGCCTAACCATAATGAAAAATTTCCAGTAATTACATGGCCCTAAAGCCTACCGTTTTTAATTTCAAGTCTTCCAGTTGATTGCATAAATCCAATCCCATTATCCGCCACACACTGATAGAGTCCGGTATCTTCCAAGGTAACCCCACTGATTGTTAACTGATTCCCTATAGTTAGGTGTCGTGGGGATGGGTGAATGGGCTGTGCATTATGAAACCAGGTGCGTTTGGGGGTTGGATTCCCGTGCACATTGCAGGTAAAATGAGCTGTGGCACCTAGAGACACCGTCAGGTCTTGCAGTCCTGTAGAAATTGAGGCATGTTCTGAAAATAAAACACACAAGTTAAACTCCAGTCCTCCAGATGTACTTTTTAAATTATCACTCGAGTCATATAAAATCTTCTCTCTCCCAATAACTAGTTGAAACCAACTTGTATTGTTTACTCACATTCTTCCATCTGCTGTGGTCAGTAGGAAAAAATTAGAAATGTATTTAACTTCCCACTAATAGGATAAACCATATGTTATTAATAAGTTGGTCTCCTTTTATAGATTGCTGCACCCACTTAACTCCCCAACACACAGGAACACACAAACATACACACAGGCACACACACACAAACCACAGCTTCTAATCCTAGGCTTTTCTTGTTTATTTCAGGTGACTAATTTGAAATAAAGTAACAGCTTCCCTGGATTTCACACTAAACAAGAGCCAAAACAGAAGAAGGGTTGATTCAGAGATTAAAGTCTTTTTATAATCAATTCTACTTTGAGTTTAGGTGTATAATAGGCAAGGGGGGACATCCTATACATCCATAAAGTCACTTTTTACCCAAAAAAGTAGATCACGTAACAACATTTGGAGTATATTAAAATAAATTATTATGCATATTAATACAGTCCTGGTTATCACTGGATTTAAAAGTCTACTTGCCATAGACTTTTATCAGTTTCAGTGTTGCTAACCTATATCAGGCCATTGTGTAAATAACATGTGGATGATTTAAATAAAAAGGTATTTACTATGAATTAGTTTCTAATTTTTCTAATTTTCATGAAGACCTGTTTTGATAAAGGAAAACAGTTCTTGCTGCTACACATGACAATCAGGTAGCTGGCAGGAAGAAAAGGGATGGCTCGGAGATAAAGAAAATACAGGTGGCATATCCCTCAGCCAAAATGCTAAGGACCAAGATTGTTTCAGAAATTAGTCTATCAGATTTTGGAATATTTGCCTAGACTTTAATGGCTGGGCATTCCTAATCTGAAACTCTGAAATACTACACTCTGAAACTGTTCAGTATAAGGTCTGCACTCGGGGGCCGGCGCCGTGGCTCACTTGGTTAATCCTCTGCCTGTGGTGCTGGCATCCCATATGGGTGCTGGGTTCTAGTCCTGGTTGCCCCTCTTCCAGTCCAGCTCTCTGCTGTGGCCTGGGAAGGCAGTGGAGGATGGCCCAAGTGCTTGGGCTCCTGCACCAGCATGGGAGACCAGGAGGAAGCACCTGACTCCTAGCTTCAGCCTGGCATAGCTCCGGCTGTAGCGGCCATTTGGGGGGTGAGCCAATGGAAGGAAGACCTTTCTCTCTGTCTCTCTTTCTCATTGTCCAACTCTATCTGTCAAAAAAAAATTAAAAAAAAAAAAAGGTCTGCACTCAGAAAGTGCTAGGGAGTGGGCATTTGGGCCATTACTTATGATGCCCAAGTCCCATGTCCAAGTGCCCGGGTTCAATGCCTGCCAGCCCTTGACCCTAGCTGCCTGCTAATGCAGACCCTGGGAGGCACCGGTGATGGCTCAGGTAACTGGGTTCCTCCCATCCCCAAGGAGACCAGGACTGAGTTCCTAGCTCCTGGCGTCAGTACCAGCCAGAGGCTGTTGCAAGCATTTGGGGAGTGAACCAGAAGATGGGAGCTCGCTCTCTCTCCCCCACCTCCAAATAAAAAATCGAAATATTTTTTAACTTCTGGATTTCAGAGAATTTCAGATTTTGAATTTTCAGGTTAGGGACATTCAACCTACAAATGGAAACGTCGTAAAATAATAAGGTAGATAGAGGTAATCACAAAAGGGAAAATAAAATGACACTGACAGACTTCGTTTTGATGTCTTTCTAGTCAGTTCCCTTGGTTACCGCTATTGTATACTACACACAGATACAGCCCAGACTCTTCCAGTTGACTGATTTCCAGTTTTTTCCCTCCCCATCATGAATGTGGGAGAACAAGTTCTGCATTACATCACCAAGCCGGGGGTAAGGCTCCCAAGAACATCCACTGTGAAATGCAATCAGCAATCCTTAGGAAAAACCAAGCCCGTTCTGGCTACTGGCGTAGATATTTCTAGATATGTCCTATTTTGTTTCTCGTGCACAACTAATCTTTCCTTCAAACATTAGACCAGAAAAAAAAAAAGCGTTTACTCAGTAACATCTTACCCAGTACAGTAACCCTGTAGGTCACGTGCTTCACGTCCCCCGAGGAGCGCCCCACCACGCAGGTGTAGTTGCCCGCGTCGGCCAGGCCGATGCTGTCCGTGGCAAGGTGAGAGTGCCACCTCCTCCAGCTCCTGCCTAGCACGGCCTCCTGCCCATCCTTCAGCCAGTGCACTCTCGAGGCCGGGACCCCGCTCACCACACACTCCAGGGTTACAGCGCTGCGGGAGGGAACGGTCATCGCCTTGGAGACGGCTGGGTGAAGAATGCGCAAATCCTCTGGGGAAGAGCCTGGACAGGGGAACACAAGAACGCGCCAGTCAGCATCCACTTCCACCGTCGTCCACAGCTAAGCTGTGTGCACCCCTGGGTGCCCACTGATTCCTCTTAATGCCACGAGGTCCTCCGAGGTAGTTAACGCGGGTTGAGCTGACGATTAGCAGATGTGTGGTCCTTTGGGGGAACTTCTGCACTAGTCACGTGGAAACGGAGAATTCTCAAGATCAGAAATCTCTCTATTGCGCTCCAACTTACTGGCGCTACATCAACTCAAAGGCCACCACCTAAGAATCAGCCCTAGGCTTTACTGTACCTGAGAGAAAGAGCACAGATCTCTCCCGCTTTCCCAAATTCACAGTTGGCTATCCATTTGACTATTACTGCTAAAAAACTGTATTTCCTCTATAATTTTTCTTTGTGTTTGAGCAAAGGGCAAAATTCCCTCCCCGAGTTCACTCTGTCACCTCAAAAAATTCCTGTCTCTACCGCTGTATTTTTAAAACATATACAGGGGCCGGTGCTGTGGTGTAGTGGGTAAAGCTGACTCCTGCAGTGCCAGCATCCCATATGGGTGCCAATTCGAGTCCCACTTCTGATCCAGCTCTCTGCGATGGCCTGGGAAAGCAGTAAAGGATGACCCAAGTCCTTCAGCCACTGAACCCACGTGGGAGACCTGGATGAGGCTCCTGGCTTTGGATCGGCACAGCTCCGGTCATTGCGGCCATCTGGGGAGTATACCAGAGGATGGAAGACCTTTCTCTTTCTCTGCAACTCTGCCTTTCAAATAACACAAATAAATCTTTTTTTTTTAATATTTAATTAAAAAAAAAAAAAACATGTATAGTGGGGCTGGTGTCCTGGTGTAGCAGGTTAAGCCAACACCTGAAACACCGGCATCCCAATTGGGCTCCACTTCGGATCCAGCTCCCTGCTAATGTGCCTGGGGAAATAGCGGAGGATTGGGAGACCCAGAAGAAGCTCCTAGCTTTGGATCAACCCAGCTCTGACCATTGTGGCCATTTGGGGAGTGAACCAGTGGATGGAAGACCTCTCTCTCTCTCTAACTATGCATTTCAAATAAATAAAATAAATTTTGAAAAAAAGAATTTTTTTTAGTTTAAAACATGTACAGTGCTACTCCATAAAGCACTCATGTATTTACATTTTTGGTAAGACTTTCTTACTATAAACAACAGGATCTGAAAAAAACATGGAATCTCATTCCCCAACTTCTTATGATGAACACTTTAGAAGATTCCTGCTTTTCTGGTTACCGTTCCCCTCCAAATACTTACGACTCACAAGGAGCTTTTGGCCAACGGGTTCGACCTTTAATTCCTGGGTGACAGGGTTGTAAACTGCACACTTATATGATCCTTTGTCCTCTCTGGATACGTTCAGAATCTGGAGATTTCCTGAGGGAAGGATGAAGTAATTCTCTGCGGGGGGAAGGAAGGAAGAAGCTCAGCCTCTCAGTCTGAAGACACAGTGCAAACCAGTGAAGGGGGCCGGTGACGCTTCACAGTTAGACAGCAGCCAATCAAGTCACAGGAAATTTGGGACAGTCAGGCAGATTTCTAAAAAGCCATCAGCGGTATTAGTATAACAGCAGCACACCTTTCAGAGACATGCTGACAACACACAAGGAGCCATGCTGGGTCAAAGGCAGGTTCACCAACACTGCAGCTTCCCAGCATTCGCTCATCGTCTGTTCTCTCACTGTTTTCAAGCACTACACAGAGTGGCTGTTTCCTGCCAGCCCGGGTATGCACGCGGGACACAGCAGTGGAGAAAGCAGATGATATGAGCCAGTGCTCCCATGGGAAGCACGGCGGTGGCACAGAAAGGGTGCAAAACAAACAAGCACACAGGCTTGATCGATTCTGCTAAGCGCCAAGGCTGAAGGAAGGGGCCAGGGAGCACCAGGGCATATCATTTCAGACTAGGTCCCCAGGGCAGTCTTCCCTGAGGAAGAGGTATCAGAGCCGGGACCTGAATGGGTGCAGGGAGCAGGCTCCTGGGGTATGGGACTGTAGTCATTTGTAACCAAGAGTTCCCGTCTCTTCCACTTGACCTCTGACAGACAACCTTCTCTAGGCACTTTCATAGCCATGGTCCCTAGCATACAAAGCTTCATAGAAGGTTATTTAAGGAACAGGTGCTCTGGGAGTGCCACTGGTTTTTCCGGGAAGGTCTCACCTGTGGAATGTCTCAGCCACTTGCCCCGGATTTTGTAGCGCACTTCAGCTTTGGGGATACTCTCCGGTACTTCGCAGCCAATAAAACCAGTGCTTTTTTCTTCGGCTGTAATAACAGGCTTCGCTGATGAACCAAAATCACCAAGAACTGAAATAAATAAGCAAACAGATAAATAGATAGTTAAGAAATGCAGCTTTGAATTCTTTTTCCCAATGGAAATGTAAAAATTAGAAACAACATCTGCAGCACGGCCAGAGGGCGGCATGACCTTGCTACTCAGAGCGCAGCTGGGCCGGGGAGGCGCTGGGTTGAAGGCTGAGCACTAAGTCAGGGCCCCTGCTTGCAGGAGACGGTAAGAAAAAGCAAACTACTCCTGAAGCACCAGAGAGAGCCTTAAAGCACAATTAGACCCATTCTGTCCAGATCAGTACTCCCTCACCAAAACTCCTGATTTCCTGATGAATCTTTATTCTGTGGGCAGCTACTCATACACAATAAAATGCCTTCTGGGAGTGGACCCAGGAGATCAAACACCAAAGCGGCAGGTCGCTTCGATTATCTGGCTATGGTAACACAGACGAGGTTGCAGGGAAGGGCTCGCTACTCTTCCCAAAGCACCACGCGTTCAGCAGCCTGCACCAGGAATGCAGCCCTCCAGTGTGTCTTGGAGCTGCCTATGGGTCAGAGCGCTACAAAAACATTTACTCTTCTCAGTTATGACAAACTCACTGCTCCTGGGGAATCCAGATTTGTTCTGTAAATAGGGGTGCCCTCACAAAGACGTTTTCCATTACTGTAAGCCATCACCCTTTGAAAGGCAGATGGCTCAAACCTACTCCGAAAACCCACGCATTCCAGATTTTCCATAAGTTCAATACTCAACATTCCTTTCTTTACAGTCAGTTATTTTTTTCCTGCTTCTTCAGCCTGGTTTCAATTTAATAAATTAAAATCACTCAGTAATCAAGGCAAATAAAAAATTAGATTTGAAAGAAAGATAAAAGGCTGTATGAAAGCATTGAGTGTCAAAGTAGACAATCGCTTTTGTATTGTTATTGATATCAAGGGCTTTTAAGTACGCACAGAAAAAAATTATTAGGAATTCACTAGAAAAGTGGCCTGATTTAAAAATAAAATCATTTCCATACCACTGTCACGGATGACCGTCACTAGGCTAGGCTCCCAGAAGTTGGAGCATGTTCCCCAAGTTATACACACGGCTTGAGTTAAGGCTGGATAAGACCTCCCGAATGCTTTATGCTGAATCCCAGGCTTTCCCCACTATTCACAAACTCAAGTACTTGAAGTCATTTCAAGAAAGTGCATCTATTAACAGGGGTAAAATTACACTCACCTGCAGTAGAGACTGTCGCAGGGCCACTCACAATGGCACCGATGCTATTGTTGGCAACGCACTGGTAGGAACCCGAAAGGGAGGGGTTCAGAGAAAGAATCGTCAAAGTCCCCTCGTGCACCTTAATCTGTTCCATGTTCCTATCCAATCTTCTTCCGTTATGCAGCCATGAGATGTGAGTGGTCAGAGGTTTAGCAGAACAATGAAGCACCACAGGTCCACCAAGTTTCTGGACAGCAGAGACAGGCTCAGAAATGAAGGAAGGTGTCAAGTCTGCAAGAGAACATTCCCCATGGGCAAAGGGAGGGGCTGAGTATGAGACAGGGAGTGATACAGAGAGATGGGCACATTCAACACATGGCATCTGACTCTTCACAACAAAAGCAACCTCTGATCTATACAGAGTACAGTTCTTAAAGTTTCTAAGTTCTAGCAACATTCTCATAAGCCCATCTTCTGGAAGGAAAAAATGAGGAGGTCAGCATGTTAGCCTGGGATTTAACCACTACGGCAGAGCAGACAGGAATGCTTATGATAAAAATCAGATACAATACTAATTCTGTTCAAACTGCTCTGTTAACAAAGTGACTTGTAAAAAATGGAAGAACCTGAAAAACTGAAAATGACTTTCAAAATCGAGAGTTCTCTCCTATTTTACCAGTGGGATTTGACTTAGGAGAACAAGTGATTCTGTGAGTAAAGGATATGGCACTTCCTCACCTTTAAGTATCAAAGCATTCTCAATGTCCAAGAAAATAGAAATAGAAATTTGCGCAGCCACACTGAAGTACAACAACGATGCTTTCTTGCATATAAGTCTCCATATTTTCATTTGGTGTTTGAAATAGTTTCATCTGTTCTATTTCTCCAGGAATTTGGGGCGGGGGGGAGGCAGTTCTGCACTAAAATTATCACTAGCAACTCCCCCACCCCCCAAAGAGGGGCAGGGGAGCAAGAATGGTGTTACTCTGGTGAAATAACATATTTAAAAGAAAAAAAATCAATAAATTGTTGAATCTACTTTTATAGGATATCTAATTAGAAATGAAGACAAAGAAAGTGCCTCTCTTGGCTGAACCTGGGGCTCCCATTTCACAAAACATAAGGATAAACTACTAACGCGATTTCTCCTTTACCACATCTGACAGAGTTGCACAGTGTTTTAACAGATAACAACTAGATGTTATTCAGTGAATAAACATCCCTGTATCTGCACAAACTTACATATATCTTCGCATAAAGGCAATGCATATGGGTTTTCACATAAAGGCAATGCATACGGGTTTTCACATAAAGGCAATGCATACGGGTTTTCACATAAAAGCAATGCATATGGGCTGTGTGTTAGGTTTGGTACTTACATATACAGCTCATAATAAATGTCTTTAAGATTTTCAGGAAGCCAAAGAGGTGGGTAATAAATTAGACAATTTCATGGAAAAAAGTGGCAGGCATGGGACTTGAACCAGCATCTCTCACCACAAGGTGAACAGCACACCTTTCTGACTCCATGGCCTACTGCATGCAGTACTACATTACTCCTTGGTAGTATGTAGCCAGCATTTTTTTCCATTACCATTTCCAAATTCAGAAATTTCTACGATGCTCTCTTATTTTAAAAAGTGTGGCCAGAAAATATTTTTAAGGCAATCAAAGAAATAAATTTTAAGGACAAGGATAGGAAGAACAGCTAATCCCTGAAACATGATTAAAACAGTCTTAAAATGCTTCATTAACCAAGTTTTAAAATCATGAAGCTGATCAAACAAGTCTTAGAAATGTTTTTAGAAACCACTATTATTGGCAAAATCTCTAATTCAATTTGTTTTTTCTTGGACTAGGATGAATCCCTGCCACTCCCTCCTCTTACCTGAACTTGCAGAAGAGCTCGGAAGCATGAGAGGAACATACAGCAGTGTCCATAAGGGCCCAAGATCTGGATGCATAGCGCCAGACTACAGAAGTAGCAGGGCAGACTTCTGGAGCAAAACCCAGGCCTCAGCTCACTGCAAAAACATTGAAAAAGAGAAAATCTAGACCACAAAAACTGTTGAAATATCCCATCTGAGTAGCCAGAGTTGTGAGCACAATGGCTGCCACTTATTCTGAACACTCTGTATAAAGTACATCATGTCCCAAGCACGTAAGGACCCATTGCTTCTCAATTCATAAGTGGATCTCTAGACTCTAAACTTGAGCCAGATGTTTTGCTCATCCTCCCAAGGCACCAGGGTGTCCTTATCTCACAGAACTAATCATCCCAAATGAATACATCCAACTGCCTAGTGTGCATTTCTATCTCTATACCTCATATGTATGGAAAACTCAACACAACCAACATGCATTCCTCCTCTATTTTCCCAAACACAGTAACAATAATGAAAACAAAAAATAATAGCCAGCATTTACTCAGTGTTTACTATGTGCAAGACACCACTTCACTGCTTTCAATATACTAACTTAACCTTCAGAGCAACCCTATGAAGTGGTACCTCTGGCAGGTGGGGGACTCGGGCTCAACCACTGTACAAACAGAAATAACAGCAGGTGCAGGCCTGTGTCGTGACTGTGCTTGGCAGTCAACTGCGACAGTGAGATGACAGCAGTAAGGGATGAAGGCGAGGCTGGATCACATCCATCTCTGAAGGCCATGAGAAAGGTGTAGGGATTTATTCTTAATGCACGAGATAACCCTTAGAGAAGAAAAGTAATGTGGTCTCATTCAGGCTTTCAAAAAACCACCGACTAGTGAGCCACAGGCTGAATTGGGGCAGGAATGGAAGACGGAGATCAATCAGGTGATACTGGAATCACCCTGGGGGACAGATGAGGACACGGTGGGTTAGGCCTGGGAGTCAACTATGGACGTGGGAAAAAGTAACTGGAATCAGAATATATTTTACAGGTAGAATCAACAAGACTTTCTGAATGAATGAATAATGCCATGTGAGATAAAAGAGATGCATCAAGGATAATTCTTGGGTGTTATGTGATAGAATAATTAATGGCCCTGTTGGCTGAAATAAAAAAGATTAAAAAGGAGATTAGCCATCACTTCTATTCTGGCCAAGGTAAGTTTGAGCAACATATTCAAATCCTACCGTCAAGCGCACAGGTGCATTCAGGAGTCTGTAGCTGTGGGGAGAAGCCACTGTTGGAAATAGAATTCAGGCCTATGAAAGCTTGGTCTGTAGGAGCTCCCCTGATGGAAAATATATTTAGAGGATGGAGGAGAGGAGATACAAGAGCCTAGGGATATTCCAACTTCAGAGACCAAACCAGAAGGGAGTACAAATGGAGACTAAGAAGTTGCAAGCAATCAAACAGCAAGAAGTCCAGAAGAGTGTTACCTTGGGAGAGAAAAATGAATCTGTTTCTAGATGAAGAAAGTGATCACCTGTTTCAAACACTGAGGGGCAGAGTAAGGTGAGACACCATGGGAGTCACGGTTATGGAGACAAGAGTAGTTTCAGCAGAGAAAAGAACAAGGGTCTGACGTTGGGAAGACAGCAGACAGACAACTCCTTCAAGGGTGCTGCCAAACCAAAGCAGCAGAAGCACTGGGAACTGCTGGAGATGGGTGGCACTCAAGGGAAGGTTTGCTTCTGTGTTTTATAATACAAAGGTAGTACAGCACATTTAGCAAAACTAACAAAGTCTGACAAAACCCAGCTCTGGCAAGGATGTGGGTTAAAACAAACAAATCGCCATCTACACTGTTGATAGAAATACAACCAGTAGGTTCTTTTGGGGAGCAATTTGGTAATATCTATCAAAAATCCTTCATTCATGCAACAAAGATTTACTGAATGCCTGTCATATGTTAGGTACCATCCCACGAGCTTGGGAGTAGAGCAATTAAAAATACCTAAATAAAATTAGTAACACAGACAAAACCTCCCACCTTATGCTCACATTCTAGTGGGATATATGGAAAATAAACAAGATAAATTAATAAAATAAATTAATTATGAGGCCAGCGCTATGGCTTAGCAGGTAAAACCGCCGCCTGCAGTGTCAACATCGCATATGGGCACCAGTTCAAGTTCTGGCTGTTCCACTTCCAATCCAGCTCTCTGCTATGGCCTGGGAAAGCAGTAGAAGATGGCCCAAGTCCTTGGGCCCCTGCACCCACGTGGGAGAACCCAGAAGGGGCTCCTGGCTTCAGACAGGCACAGCTCTAGCCGTTGTGGCCATCTGGGGAGTGAACCAACAGACAGAAGACCTCTCTCTCACTCTCTGCTTCTCTGTAATTCTGCCTTTCAAATAAAACAAACAAAAAAAATCTTTCTAACAATTAATTAATAATCTGCATGCCATCCTTCAGATATGGTTAATTCTTTCTCCTCCATGCCTGGACATGCACCCACCACTGTACTCATTACTCTATTAAGTGACTTATCTGGTCACATGGCTCTGTTTTCTTGGAAGGCAAGAACACTCTTATATTCAATTTGGTAGAATTCTAATGCTTAGCAGAAGGCACTTAATAAATATTTCTTAGAATGAGATATATCTTAATAGAACATAATTCCTAGAATTACCTTAAAAGTCATATTTAATGAGAACTGCCATCTCATCTGAATTCAGTGTATTTTAGCTATCCTTGTTATTCACTCATATGTATAATTTTAAAAATCAGCAAATAATAAGTACCTACTATATACTAGAAACTATGCTCCCCTAGGTTATTCTATATGCAAATTTTGACCTCCATTCCTACTTGGCCAAGGTTGGACATAGAACCTGTAACTATGAAATACAACAAAAATCTAACAATGGTGCTTCATTATTGACATTTTAAAAATGAGAATTTTATACACATTTTCATTTATGCAAAGAAAGGTTAATCCTAACCATTGCAAGGTACCTTAAATAGGGCTCATCATAAACCATATAGTATCTCCCAGGATCTGCACATGCTCTCTGTGGTAAGCTACTCCAAAAGCCAAAAGTTGCAAACTCAAGTTTATCCAGTTCCTGGGTATCAGGTCATGGATGGTCTTTCTTTTCCTTGCTGACCTCTTTTAAAAAGTGGTAGGGGACACACTGGCACTGTTCATCAGCAGGGGGGAGCAGCTGTGTGAAAACTTTTCTGGTTTATTTGAATTCTCACTTGGTTCAAGGCTAAGGGTTGACACAGCACTGGTAAGCACTCAAGGCAAAGTAAACATTCCAATAACTTGTTAACAGGAGACCCTTCCCTGAGAGAATGGGGACAAGAGGAGCGTGTCTTCTTTTGCCAAATCTTTCTTCAAGTATTTATTTATTAAAAAGCAGTGAAACAAATTTTAGAGTCAACTTTAACCCTAGCACGTGACCTACTGATACTTGATAGCCGTTCTTTGAAGATCCGTGGCTCATTATTGCCACTTAAATATTAGCACATGGGAATCTCCTTTATGAAGTCTGTTTCTATTAGGTTACCTTCCTTGCATGCTTTCAGTTGGTTTTGGAACTTGGAAAGAACCTATGGCCATAAAAGCATTTAACAAGTATCTGTTGACTTGGTTATTATCTTTACCCATGGCCAGCCTGCTCTGTTAGTAAACTGTGATCTTAAGAACAAGAGTAGGATTCTGTTGTCCATGAGTCAGGTAACTGACATATTCAACCACCACCAACAGCACCTCAGGTACAAACTCACAAATAAACATCACAGACCACAGGGAGGGTCAGAGATGCAGTGTTGTCTTCAAAAGTACTCTTTCTCAAAAAAGGAACTTGATTTTAGTGCCCCACTACTTGACTAGGTTACTAGAATATAGACATACATATATAGTATATAAATACATACATATATAGTGTGTATATATGTGTGTGTGTATATATATACACACACACACACTCTGGGGCAGGCATGGTAGCACGGGAGCTGAAGGTGCAGTTGGGGACATCTGCTTCACATATCGGAGTGCTGGTTCGAGGCCTGACTGCTTCAGTTCCCATCCAGCTCTCTGCTAATGCATCCTGGGAGGTAGCGGCTGATGGCCGACTGCTCAGATCCCTGCCACCCAAGTGGGAGACCTGGATGGAGTTTCTGGCTCGTCTTGGGCCTGGCCCAGCCCTGGCTGTTGTAGACATTTGGAGAGTGAAAGCAGTTGATGCAAGATCTCTCTCTCCTCCCCTCACCCCCTACTCTGCCTTTCAAGTAGAAGAAAATTCACATTTTTTAGAAGAATATATGTAGATTTGGTTTTATATACATACACACATATCCCCCTGTACTGCTCCAACAAATGGACAGTTTTATGTGGCCAGGTTCACCACAGCCAAACAACACTCTTGCCACAGTCTCACACACAAGTCAGCAGCCTTAACAAGTATATCCTCGGGACCAGTGCTGTGGCACAGCAGGTTAATGGCCTGGCCTGAGGCGCCAGCATTCCATATGAGCACCAGTTCGAGACCCGGCTGCTCCTCTTCCGATCCAGCTCTGTTCTATGGCCTGGGAAAGCAGTAGAGGATGGCCCAAGTCCTCGGACACTTGCACCCACATGGGAGACCAGAAAGAAGCTCCTGGCTCCTGACTTCGGATCGGTGCAGCTCTGGCCGTTGCAGTCAATTGGGGAGTGAACCAGCAGATGGAAGACCTCTCTCTCTGCGTCTCCTCTCTGTGTAACTCTATCAAATAAATACATAAATCTTTAAAAAAAAAAAAAAGGTATGTCCTCTTTCATACCCATAAAAACTGACCTAGGCAGAGGGACAGCCACCCTCATTTCCTATATACACTTGTTTTCCATCCTCCTCTCCCCTCTCTTCTGGTGTAGAAACACAGACCAAGAAAGAAAGAAAAGGCTGCAGCTGGAGCGCACCAGCCCACTCCACACCACATGGGCTTCACACACACATCACTTGCCAGGTTGGATGACCTCTGCTCCAGGACACATGACATTCAAATATTCTCTTGTAAAAAGTACAAACAGGGGCCAGCGTCGTGGCACAGTAAGTTAATCCTCCACCTGCGGCACCGGCATCCCATATGGGCGCCGGTTCTAGTCCT